ACGCCTGTGGAGTTCGGAGCCTTCGACGACCCCTTTACCAAGTGAGGCTATCAAGCCTGGAAGAGGGAGAGGAAATTAGTTTGTTGGGCTGCAGCCCCCTTTCCATATTCACGTGCCCTGAGGGCGCCCATTTTTGTGTGCAAGCTCTGACTTGCTCGACCTTACCTGCGCTCCTTGTAGCCATCATTTTCGTGCAGGCCTGGCAAGCCTGTTTCACCTTACCGTTACAGACTACGGTCCGAACAGCCGAAGCCATCAAAGTGAACACTTCGGTGACCCAGATCGACTTGAGCTGGAACGCGTTGCGCGCTACGGGGGCCCAGGCCGGGCGCTTCTCGTGTTGGGATTTCTTGTGAGGCTCGGAAACTGTGAACAGCCACAGATCGCGCCTCAAGGGCTCAAGAATGGGTCAAGATTTTCGGGACACAGACGAAGCAAAAGCGCGGAGGCGCAGGGCGGGCAGTTTAGCCTTTCGGGCAAGCACCGAGAAACGGCGTGTTTCGCCTCGAAGGAATCTTGTTCGCGTCAGGCCTTCACCAGGGCATCCGCTTCCCATGCCCACACGATGAGAACGTCCATGCTGCCAGTGCATCCGGTTTCCGCAGCATGAGCTTTCAGACAAGAAACCCTGCGGTTGCGAAACGTGCGTGTGAGCGAAGACATGTTCCTAAAGCCGTAAAAGGAAGCCTGCCGCCTATAGGGTTTATAGGGTTTAGGGTTTGCCGGCATGTGTTCCGGCATTGTGGCCCCGAACCGGTGGACGACTCATCTCGAACCGCAAATTTGCATCACCTCGCACATGCACAAACGGAAACAATGATTCGTTGCAACAGCACAAGTGCAGGCTGCATGCTGAGAACCACGCAAACCGATGGACACTGGCACTAGCCACCACCACCACCTCCACCACCACCACGACCACGACCACGACCACGACCACGACCACGACCACCACGACCACCACGACCACCACGACCACCACCACGACCACCACGACCACCACCACGACCACCACCACGACCACCACCACCACCACCACCACAACCACCACAACCACCACCACCACCACCACACGACTACTGATACTGACTACTGCCTGCTGGCTACTGCTGCTATTGCGACAACCACTACCACGACTTCGACCCAAACTACTCCAACTGCAGCTGTTACTGCTACAACAATGACCACAACGGCTGCCACAGCACTGCGATGACTACTACGACGACTTACCTCTCCGATCTCGAGGTTTTGCATGCAACTAGACTAAGTGAGCCGTCTGCAAACAACGCGCGGGGACGGGGGGGTTGGTCTAGCAACAAAGTAGCGGAGGCCCCTTCCACTCTTCCCCTTTCGCCCCAGGCGCTGGCCGAGGCCATCAAAACCAACACTGCGCTGACCCAGATCGACTTGTCAGACAACGCGATCGGCGACGACGGGGCCCAGGCCCGGCTCTCGCCGGATTTTGCGTGTTTTCAGGTCCCAAAGCGAATAGGGCTCCCTAAGACCCACAAACCTTAAACCCTCAACCCTGTCAACCTTGAATGGAGCTGAGGCCATGGAAGACATTGTGGCCGTGCTCCAGAAGAACACCCAGAGGCCATCCAAGTCTTGCGGGGCACCCCTTTTTTTTGTGTGTGGGTGCAGGGCCTGTGGGATGGCGAGGGTTCTTGAAATGTCTTCTTTCAGCTTTAGGGCCTTGGTTTCGGTATGTTTCGGTGCTGTGTCCGCCCATGTCAGGTGATGGAGCTGAGGGCTCTTACGTTGCTTCGAAGTTCTGGCCGTTTCACAACCAAGTCGGATACAATGCCGCAAGGCGTGCAAATTCCAACGCTCCGGAAAGAAAAGGAACGGTTTGGCTTGTGCTGAGAAAGGACCCTGAGCAGCGACATCTTTTTGGAAGGTTGCAAGGTTGCTGTGCATGAACTATGGACCAGGCTGGGATCTACTGTGCCTAAGATCCCCCCAGACAAGTAAAGGATACTGATCCCTATTTTACCTTTTTGAGGAACAGTATTCTTCCGCAAAAATAGCAGGCATGTCTACACATGGTTCATTGGCCTTGCGCAAGTTGCACTGTCATTCTGGGCTTTCTGGGCTTTCGCTCAAGGCGCAGTCTTCAAGCTATTGTCAAGTCTTTTTGGGTGCTCTGTGGCCGCTATGGCATCTGTACGCACATCATGTCTTGACCGTCTCTAGTTGGCATGTCGTGACATGTACTGTCCTGTACTTGAAAAAAAACCGATTGCAGTTAGAGAGGTTCCCTGCCCGCCAGCCCCATTCTAGTCTTCGTCCCACGCGCACCGAGACACCCATTCGAATCATACGTTCATCTAGGTTCTCCCCGACGGAGCTACAGCAACTCACTATGCAAGCGTTCCGGTGCATGCATTCACTGAACTTGTGCAACCAGACACACGCGGAGTTCCCTGACATGCCCACCAAGGGCTGCGCAGCTCGCTGAGGCGCAGGCGTAGGTGGAAAGCGTGAGTTTGTAGATTTTTCCCTGCCTGCGCAATTCACTCAGCATTGATGCCTACAGGAAAGTGGTCGAAGGGAACCTTTCTGAGCTTTGTATCATTCGCACCTAGACAGCTGCAGTGACAGTGGTCGCAAAGAAGTCAGAGTCATGCTCATGCGTGTGTAGGGTAGGCGACAGGCGATGCGGCCGGCCGAAGATAGCCCCGCAGATCAGCCATCACCTTCTCTCTGGAAGGTATTTGACCTTCCAAACTTTACCACAGAAGATTCCTGCAAAGAGCTCTTTTAACTCGATACTGCCACGTGCCTGCAGGCACATTTTTAGAGCAGTGTTGTGATCAAAGTCTTGGCTCCTGAGCTGCGACTATACTTTCAAGACACACCACGCGTTGAAAGAAAAGCTTGCCATGCCTCCGGTGCGGTCCGGAGGTCTGCCAAGAGTGTCTGTGATCAACACTTCAATCGTTTCGCGAATGTACTTCTGGCAGGCTCAAGAACCCTCTCACATGAGAGACGAACTCATGAAGCGACGTGTTCCCTCTTTTCCGCCATACACGGGCAGAATGCTTTGGGAATACATCGTTGTAAGTCTGTGAAGAGAGTGCGTGCCCGTTTGGGTTGCTTTCTCGGGCCACGTCCAAGGGCAATCTGAAGCTCACCCCAACTACTAGGTCAGGCGCTGTGATCTGCTCGCAGAGAGCGTGTGCCTTCAATACATCCTAAGAACGCGCAGGCAATGGGTGCCTTGTTGGGCGTGCTGAGTATTTCGAGAACACGGAGCCCTCGACTACGTAGTTTAGAGAATCCGAGAATCCCCAGGTACCCCACACTACCGTAAAAGGCACGGTGACCATGTTGGTCCATGGCAGCTTGCATGAAGGAGGCCCACTAGCAGTTGCAGAACCCTAAATGAAGGCAACAGGGGAATAAATTCTCGATTGTGATCCATGTTGGGGTCTTTGCTCTACAGTAACCCCCAAAAAGTTGGAAACCTTTTTAAGGACAAATAGTGCTGGGATTCCCTATACTTTACTCTTAGGGATTGAGGCTATTGAGTTTCCAACTTTCGTTAAAATGTTGTTGGGTTACCCCTAAACCCTAAACGCCTGTTATCGAGCGTCCTTGTGGCTGCACCCCAGCATCGATCCGCGGCATGGGCTGGCACTGCGAGAAGTGAGGGCCACATGCCAGGGCACCCAGGGTGGGAATTTAGGGCTTAGGGTTTAGGGTTTCGGGTTTAGGGTTTGGGCATGCGGTGAGTGGGCTGTGCTTCAGATCCAGAGAGCACTGTCAGCCACTCTTCATTCTCTTGGCCACGGCTTTGCTGCTCGGAAGCGATAAGTCAATAGAGTTTGGTGTATCTGCCTTGCACGAGGGAGGGAGGGAGGGAGGGAGAGAGGGAGAGAGAGGGAGAGAGGGAGAGAGAGGGAGAGAGGGAGGAGAAGAGAGGGAGAGAGAGGGGAGAGGGAGAGAGAGGGAGGAGAGAGGGGAGAGAGGGAGAGAGAGGGAGAGCGAGAGAGAGAGAAGAGAGAGGGAGAGAGAGAGAGAGAGAGGGAGAGAGCGCGAGAGAGGGAGAGAGAGGGAGAGAGAGGGAGAGAGAGGGAGAGAGAGGGAGAGAGAGGGAGAGAGAGGGAGAGAGAGGGAGAGAGAGGGAGAGTCTGGAGGTTTGCGCAATGGCTGGAGATGTTAAGCCCACGTTGCTGCAAGCCCGCAGTTGATTCTTCAGAGGTCATCTACCTTGCTGGCTGCGGCAGAAGACCCGCGTGGGCCCAGGGCGGTGACAGCGGGGAGCGCATGCACGGGCGAATGGGTTTTACGGGCCTTAATTGGGAGTGTTAGAGTATGTGATTACTAGTTACTATGAGTTGTTGTTAGTTATTGTTACTCCTTATTGGTTGTTATGAGTTATTATGAGTCATTAGGAGTTATTATGAGCTATTGTGAGCTATTGTGAGTTATTGTGAGTTATTGTGAGTTATGATGAGTTATTATGAGTTATGATGAGTTATTATGAGCTATTATTAGTGATTATTAGCTACTATTAGTTTTTATTAGTTATTAGTAGTTATGATTAGTGATTGTAGAGGGCCGCGTTGGGCTGGCCTCGGCTGCTTATGCCGCTTTGCCCTTGCTTAAACACATGTGGGGTTCGCTTGGGGGTTGCCTCAAAAGTAGTTTCAAAGTGCGCGAGATACTTGGATGCCCAGGTGCTGAAACACGAATTGTCGAGATCCCAGTTCCAGCCCCAGCTGATTCGCAAGGAATGTCTTAAGGGATATAAGGAGGGGAGCCTAGAAGGGACGCTTATGAAGATAAGTCCCTTACATATAAGGTTCCCTCCTTTAGTCCCTTGAATGTCAGAGAGGGAACGGCTCTTGGACCGCGTGCGACATCTGATCAGTTGCTGCAATGTTGCCCCTCGACACCTGTTGGATACATCTTGCAGCCGTCGGAACCTCTCGAAAACCCACTGGGAGGTTTATCCATTTTGATTGTTCGGTGTTTTGAATTTCACAAAAGGAATGGCAAAGCTGTTCCTAGTCAGTGCAGCCATGCTTGCGGCAGCCGATCTCTGCGGCGAGGCTGACGCCAATATGTCAAGTGGTGCCTGTCACGCGGAATGTGGCATCGCATTGCTTCAATCCTCGGCCAGAGAAGTTCGGTCCTTGTCGCGTCCAGGGTTGTCACGAGCCCACAATCAACATTTCAAGTGGGAGTGGGGCAAGTCGGGCGGCTTCGTGAAGTGGAAGGATCATAGCATCACTTTGGCTTTCGATGCGCGCTTGTACAAGGTGACCCCGAACCAAGATCTTGCTATGAACCCTATGACTGGGCCTGTGGTCTTGCGAGTGGTATTTGGTGTGCTCATCGTCTTGGCTATCTCAAACATCATGGTGGTCCTCATGCTGGTCCTCCTCGTCCCGACGACAGCTGTAGTGCAAGCGGCTTCGTCCATTGTGTTCCAGGGGAAGAGGGGGAAGAAGGCGTCGAAGGCAGCATCAAAGGCAGGGGGCACATGAAACAGGGTTTACATGACTGTTCCTGGTGTACATGGGTTCTTCATATGATTGGGTGTCCTTTTGAGGATACTAATTATATGATCTCTACTTCATGTCAAGGTCTCAGGGTTGCACCTTCAGTTAACGGCGCCGGACAGGCTTCCATTCTGACGGATGCGGACACGAATGCTCCTGCACTCTTGCCCCCGCGCCAGAAAAGCTCATGGCCGTGGACAGTAACTTTCATCTGCGTGTTGGACCTGCTCTTGAACTTGGTGCTGGTTCTGCTATTCGCGGGCGGAAAGTTGCAAACCCAGAACATCCTCCCAGTCTTGATGCTGGAAACTCTGGCTAGCTCCATTGTCTTCTTGTGTTTCGCTAGCTGGGATGATCAAAGGCATCTCATCACGGCTTGGCAAGTCCTACAAGCCATCCGCTTCTTTCTCCTTCGCCGTACCATCTATGCCCACTTTGGCACCTACGTGGCAAGCTTGCTCTTGCTTTTGCTGGCGCGCGCCCGAGATCTGTAATCCTGTTTCGAGATCTGTGGTCATTGTGCAGCAGATTGGCAGTTTTAGAGTGAGCTAGGGCCCCAACAGCTGAAGCCGGCTTAACCCCCATCAGACCCCCCTTCTGGAGGTCTCATCAGCAGGAGCGGTGGCTGAGCTCTCTGTTGAGTATGATGTGCGCCTGCCCCCTTTTGAGCCCAAGAAGCTGGACGTCAATCGACCAACTCATGGCTGGCTTGGACCTTATGCTCAGTCTGTGCAGTCCAAATCTCTTCGCCGGCTCATCACCGGAGTTTTTTTCATCGCCGATATGCTGAAGTATGTCCTTTTTGTGTACTTTTTCACTGATGGGCCTGAGAATGACACAGCGCAGGCCAGGGAGAAGTTTAATCAAGAGCCCAGCATCTAAGGACATTTAAGCTATCCTGTGCTTCTGTTGGTGACCTCTTTATGTCTTGCTTGTGGCTGAGTTGATTGTTCCCGGTTACCTTCTTACGCTGCGCAGGTCAGTGATGGCACCTTTTATCAGCTTGCTGCGGCATCGATGCTCCTCCAATGCGCGCTTACATTCTTGCCGGCCGTGACGCAGATTCATGCTGCTGTCATCCAGATGAAGACGTGGTGTGAGCATGAGCCGCTCCTGAGAGCTTACAGGACGGGTCCTTATGAAGTGTCCGCCCTGGCGAACGACCAGAGTCCTGACTCAGATCTTCAAAAGCAACTCCAAGACCACCAATGCCGTTCTATCACAGTCGTTCTTCCCGCATACATGCCCAATGAGGAGGATATCGTGCTGGATTGCCTGGAAGTCTACCGACAAGAGGCGGCGAAGTATCCAGGCATTCTGAGGGTACTACTTGTATGGAACTCGCCTCAGGAGCATACTTGGATTGAACAGAAGCTGCAAGAACTCCAGGCAGAGTGGCCGGCTTTTGAGGCACATCGCAACCACATGTCAACATCGAAATGCGACAACTTGAATATGGCTGTAGACTTGCTCAGAACCGAGTTTGCCCTCTTCAATGACGTCGATACCATGGTATCTGCCGAAAGCATGTGCCGGGCTTCTTTGCGATTGTTCGAAGAGGGCCACGACACCGTGCAAGCACGCCTGGTGGCTCTGCTACATTTTGTCACATGCGGTAAGGGGGGCTTAGGGACAAGAAGACCCTAAGCCCCTAAGCCCTACACCCTACATAAGTCAAAACAAAGTGGGCGGATGCGGTGTCAGGTGCATTGCTGGGAGGACTTTGCCGGCATCACAGACAATGGATTCTTCGCCCTTGGGGCAATCACCACCTGCCATGATGCCGTCCGTCATTCCGTGAACGAAGTCATCTACGGGCCAATGCAGATGCCCTTCTGCAACGGCCGAGGGTCATTCTGGCGAACAGATGCCATCAAAAAGGTCGGGTTCGATCATCGCACGGTCGGGGAAGATCATGATGCCATGTTCCGTGCCTGGGCCTACTACTAGGTACTGAACGTGTTGTTTGCACAGCGTGGGAGACTTAACATGTTGATGGTATTTCAAGCGCACCTTCCCCCCCCGTGGTAGCACAAGCGACTTCGCAGAGCTCCACACGCATACTTGTAGCTCCAGTTGTCTTGCAAATACCCCGACAAGTGCCTGCTTCTGCTAGGGGCAAAGAAGAATGGGATGGTAGGTGAGCCTTTCGAGTGGCCGTGGCTTGTTTGGTGAACAGGGCGTAGCCTGAGCCCAGCTTTGGGATGTATAGGCTTGCTATGGCTTGCTGAAAGACTCCTGAAGCCTTGTGTTTTTGCCTTAACTCGCGGCAAAGGCTTGCAGTGTCAGGCGGTGCAAAGCCTTCGGTGCAAGTCATGCGCGTGCTCGTGTGCTTGTGGCCTAGGGCCGAGTGAAGCTTGGGTAGGGTAGCGGGCACTGCCAAAGGTTGAGGGTTTAGGATTTGGGGTTTAGGGTTTAGGGTTTAAGGGTTTAGGGTTTAGGATTTGGGGTTTAAGGGTTTAGGGTTTAAGGGTAGGCTAAGAAAGGTGGCAACAAAAAGGCTTCTCCCACCAGCAGGCCGCAAGGTTTCATGATGGGCATGGAGGTCGGGGGAATGCGGTTTAGGGTTGAGGGTTTAGGGTTTAGATGGGTTTAGGGTTAGGGTTTTAGGGTTGAGGGTCTGATTGTGCCAAAATTCGACTTTCTGTGAGAATCTCACCTCATAAGGTGCCTGGGCCTACTATGGCATGAAAGGTGCTCTTGACGACAACATCCTGTGTCAGGAGCGTGAGCCGCCAGACTTTCAGAACTTGGTGAATCAGCGTACTCGCTGGTACAGCGGACAAATCCAAAAGCTGCGATGTATGACATGGTTTCTCCGCTCCACACACATCTCGGCATTCTTCAAGATGGTCGTCGTCTACTTGGACTGGGTCGACAAACCGTTTCAGGGCTGGGCATTTAACCTTTTCATGTGGGTGCTCGGCTACATGTTGAAATCGCGAGCATGCGCGTTCAACCCACTCATGGTGACAACCGTCATGGGCACCACTGTCGTCCTACCACTCTTCGTTGTGGTGCTCCTCGTTGCGCCAATGGCGATCCAGAAAGCTGCGTCTCTACTTGAGACACGCTATCGTCCTCGTTGGCTCGCCTGGATCCTGGTCAGTTTCATCTCACCATGGGCTTACAGCGCAATGAGAGAGACAGTTTGCCGCTGCCGCATGCTGCATGATTTCTTGTGGAGTGGGGACGTGGAGTTCATATGCACTACGAGGGACAAGACGCCCTCCCGTTCCCCCTCAGTCATGTCCCCAGCCTCACATATGTCGCCCAGCACCTCCTTCCACCATGGCTTTGGGGGCTCGGCTTCGCAACTGGTGCTGTCGGACTCGGGAGAGCGCTTCACCGCTTCACAATGAGGTACTGAGCAAGCGCCAGAGTCCAGCACGACTCCCTCTAGGAGCCCGCCAATTGCACTCTGCAAATGTCTGCAGTGCACTTCGTGCAGAAATTATTCGACATGGAGTTTTATTATTATTATTATTATTATTATTATTAGTATTTTTGTCTGTCTTATTTTTATTATATATATATATATAGATATAAATATACATATATGCACATATATATATATATAGCTATTTTTTTTTTTTTTACTTTGGGGGGGTCTTTCCTTTTGTTCTCCATTCCCTCCTTATTTTCATAGGATTTGGTCGGTTTTCTTGTTTTCTCCTAGGTAAACCTCCATGCCCTCCATATTTTGAGAGGAAATCGTTCCTTTCCGTAGGTTTTGACTAGGAGAGAAAGAGAGAGAGGGAGAGGGAGAGAGGGAGAGGGAGAGGGAGAGGGAGAGAGGGAGAGGGAGAGGGAGAGAGAGAGAGAGAGAGAGAGAAAGAACGAAAAATAGAAAGAAAGAAAGAAAGAAATAAAGAACGAAAGAGAGAAAGAAAGAAAGCCCCCGCATGTCTTACGGTCTCTGTGCCAAGCGGTGTCTCAACATGCCGTCCAAGGCCGCTAGCCATGGGCTCTGGCGAGCGTGCGGTGAGCTTCGGCTTTTCTTCCGGAGCAAGGGCTTTAGGGTTTAGGGTTTAGGGTTTAGGGTTTGAGCTTCAGTTTTTTTTCCGGAGCAGGGTTTGCGGAGGCACAAGTGCATGTCGCCACGGGACTCTGCTCAACATTTGTGAAAACAGGTGCGCTGAACTCGCTGCTGTGTGCTGACATGACGTCAACTTGTCCATAGCTGTGGTCCGTCTGAGTCTGGTGCTGCAAGTCTGTCTTGGCCTGCTTGGAGGATCGTGGTACTTATTAGCCAATTATAACTGTACTTATAACTGTACTTATAGCCATATTGGGGCACTTAAGGGGCTTATAAGTGGGTTAGAAGTACAGTGATAGTTAGCTACCAAGTGCCATGAACCTCCAAGTAATTCCTAAACCCTAAACCCTCAACCCTCAACCCTCAACCCTCAACCCTCAACCCTCAACCCTCAACCCTCAACCCTCAACCCTCAACCCTCAACCCTCAACCTTCAACCCTCAACCCTCAACCCTCAACCCTCAACCCTAACCCTAAACCCTAAACCCTAAACCCTAAACCCTAAACCCTAAACCCTAAACCCTAAACCCTAAACCCTAAACCCTAAACCCTAAACCCTAAACCCTAAACCCTAAACCCTAAACCCTAAACCCTAAACCCTAAACCCTAAACCCTAAACCCTAAACCCTAAACCCTAAACCCTCATCAGCTCTCAGGCCTACGAACCTGCAAACCCGCACAGAGCCCTCGGGCATATTCTACATCAAGCCTGGAGCAAGGGTCAACACTGCAACAAAAACTTGAAGCAGGCTCGCAGACATATACACATATATGTATATATATATATATGTATTATATGCATATATATATATATATTTTTATATGTATAAGGTTCACCCTAAACCCTAAACCCTAAACCCTAAACCCTAAACCCTAAACCCTGAACCCTGAACCCTGAACCCTAAACCCTAAACCCCAATATATGGAGCCGCAAACGCCGCTCCGGCCTGATATCGGCTTAGGAAGCTGAGTTTAGGACCAGATTGCACCGTGGACGAGGCAAAGCAGGGGTCCGCTTGCAAACAGGGCTTAGACCCTGTGTGTAGGGTTTAGGGTTTAGGGTTTAGGGTTCAGGGTTCAGGGCTTAGCCCTCAGACCCGACGTTACGCCGCAGCAGAGCACACGTCTTGGAACGTGCGCAGGCCGACTCCCCCGCCGTGGCCGTACGTTCTTGAAGCGCACCTGCGAATGAGCATCCATGCCCGTGCGATGATAACGTCCGTGTGACCAGTGCGTGCAAATGGCCAGAGCGGCCATGCCAGTGCGATGATAACGTCCACGTGATGCCTGCACAACGTCCATTGACCAGTGCGTGCGAATGGCCACGGCATCCATATCCTGTGACTGCAGCCCCGCGGAAGGGGCTGCAGCGTACTCTTTGTCAGGCTCATTCACAGCACTTCGGGCTGGAAGAGGCTCGCGGACGACAGTGTGGCCATGCTTGAGGAGTGCATTGCGAAGATCCGTGACCACGAGTACCTCCTCTGGCAAATCCAAGCAGCACGTGCGGAGTAGGTTTTGCGCACGCATTTCTTTCCTGTCGCTCAACGCGCGGTCTTCAAGCTATTGTCAAGTCTTTCTGGGTGCTCTACGGCCGCTATGGCATCTGTGCGCACATCACGTGTTGACCGTCTCTAGTTGGCATGTCGTGATCTGGACTGTCCTGTGCTTGGAAAAGATTCCGATTGCAGTTGGAGAAATTCTCTGCCCGCACGCCCCATTCTAGTCTTCGTCCCATGCGTACCGAGACACTCATTCGAAGCATTCTTTCATCTAGGTTCTCCCACAACTCACCATGCAAGCGTTCCGGTGCATGCATTCACTCAATTTCCCGGCCAGTCTCGCATACGCACCCCTCGGCTTCTTTCCTCATGTGGTTTCTCCATCACTCCACTTACTGCATTCACCGCCCCCTTCACAACCACCCCCCCCCCCCCCTCCCCCCAAACACGGGCACATACACCCATGCCGGCAGAACGTACGAGGGCCTTTGATTGGGAGGCCAGGCAGGCTGAGGGCGGGGGCACATGCAGGGCGAGATGTCCCTCGGTGGATTGCGCCTGCATCAGGTTATAGATGACCACTGCCGCAGCAAGCGCTGTGCCGTTGCCAATCCGCTCTGCCGCGGCTTCGGTGCTCCGAATCCTGTACGGGTCAGCGAAGTTTGGTGCAGCTGCTTTGCGCCGGTGGAGAAACAACTCTTGAGCTAGAGCTTCTTCGGGCCAAGAGTCGTCGAGAGAGAGAGCTTGGAAGTAGTTGCACAACGATGCGAAATTTAAACGGCCAAATTGAAGTTAAGCGCCTGTGGCCGAAAATCCGCGCCTGAGAGCTCGGTGTAGTAGGAACTTGTAGCGATCATCGACACTGCCCTGTTGGCACACCTTGCCGGAGGTTTGGTGAGGTGGAGGTTTTGGTCCTTTTTGGTTTTGGGTTTAGGTCTGAGTCTAATTCCAGTGGTAGAGCAATCATTGTAAGGTGGGGCCGGCCTCATAGGGTTTTGTAGGGGAGTTTCCGCAGACGCTGTGTACCACTTGCACGTTTGAATCTGAACGCCTCTGTGCCCTGTTGCTGACAAGCCTCATGGGGTCACGACGTCACCTGCTACTGGCACTTGGAGTGTTCTTTGGTGCCAAGGGTGGCAATGTCCCAAATGGTGCGCGGCCGGCCCTCGCGCCAGGACCGAATTAGAGAACTCCTACAGGGTTTAGGGATTTGGGGCTTGCATTCTTTGCCCTTCTTCGTCCTAGCGCCAAGTAAATAAGTTTCCCGACCTGGGCCCGCTTGAATGCATGAGTGTTTTGTCCAAGGTCCTTCGACTGTAAGACGCTCCACAATAAAATTGTTGCCATTGTGAAGTATGTGAAAGTAGTAAGACCAAGTAACAACATTTAACACCGAATGTCACACGTCTAGACATGGTTGTTTTTTCGTAGACCACAAAGACGCCGAGGTCGATACTCGCTTGCTTCCAACCTTGTTTTTGCGCCGAGTTTTGCACAAATGGTACAGGTCTTGCTTGCTCATCGGCTCGCAGGCAAATTCACAAATGTGCAGGAAAATTCTTGTTTGTCGCGAATAACCGTGCAACAGTGCTGGAATTTCAGACGCGCCGCACGCGCCACAGCTTTTTGCCTTGCCGCGGCACCGCGCGGCCCCGACACCGCAAATTCCCCCGATTCTCCTCGATTTTGCTACTTTCTCTTCTGATTAAAACCACCCACCACCCCCGATTCTCCTCGATTCTCCTCGGCCCCGTGCCGCGTGCGGACAGATCAGGTTGGTCCCCGGCGGCCGCAAGTGTATTTGTTGCATTTTGCAACAGTTTTTGCTGTGTCTTGGCGATTTTTGCAGGTTTGTGCTGACTTTCACACCCAAGCATACACGTACTCCAAGTAGTGAAATATTATGTTGCGTTTTAGGGACACTTATTGTAGAACGGCCAACTGTCAAGGTTCCTAAGACCCTAAGAGCAGCGAACCTATGGGTCTGCAGAAAGCTCTCCGGACTTCTGGCTGATACGGTACGGGCGCTTCGGCCTCCCGTGAAATGCCTGTCTACAGCGGCCAAGTGTGCAACCAATGACCAATGACCGGCATGGTGCAAAGATATTTGGCAGACTGGAAGGACCTCCACTGAGGTCTTGGTGTTGGTGTTGCTGTGCTTGTTGCTCCCGAGTTCGTGTCGGGGGCGCGTTGGGTGACCAAAGGCAATGCGGATGGCAGTAAGAGCCCTGGTGCAGGGTGGTGGTCGGTTATGCTGATGGCCATGATGGTCTTGGGAGGCCACATGGAAATGGAGGGATAGAGTGGCGCGGGCCGGTCGTAAGTCGGTAAGTGACATGTTCTCCCCGCTTGAACAGTTGAAATGGGTTTTTGCTGCCCCTCCCCTCCGGATTACAAAACGGGTCCCCTCCCCCTCCCCTATACGATTGTTAGAGTCAGCATTACAGGGCGCACTAATGAGTCTTTTACGCGCCCGTGAAGTGAAGTGAATAAACTAAATGAGTACACGGGTGAACGAATTCGTGTATGAACGTAGCGTGAAGAGATTTACGAAGAGAATTATAAACGGGCGTTCTTTTTCCTTCATTCGCTCGTATTATAATGAACGAGGAAACGAGCGTAGCGAAGTGATCATATTAAAAATAAAAGGAAAAGGCTAATTTTCAGGGGTTCTTTTCGTAGTCTTTTCCCATTAAATTTGATAGTAGCACGTCCTATGAAACGGTTTTCCCAAAATATGAAGACATTCTCTACGTTCACTCCCTCGTTCATGTGTTCGTAAACTCACTTCATTCTCTTCGTTACTAAAAGCCTTATGATA